CCGCCGCTGAGTAAAATTGAAAAGAGACGTCTGGCCAGACGAAAACTGAATGTCGGTGATCACGTCCGGATCTCGAGACTCAAAGCCATGTTCGAGAAAGGATACACACCGAATTGGAGCACGGAAATTTTCAAGATTGTCAGCGTCAATCCCACCGTTCCGATCACGTACGATCTGAAAGACGCACACGATACGATCATCAAAGGAAAATTCTACCGCGAAGAACTCCAACCCACCAACTATAAAGATACGTTCCTGGTGGAGAAAATTCTGCGTCGCAAGAAAAACCAGGTCTTTGTCAAATGGTTGGGTCTGGACGCGAGTCACAATAGTTGGATCGATAATAAGGATTTCGTATAAAATAATATGCAACGTGTTTGCGTTTTCTAAACGTGTTTGCGTTTTTTAAACGTGTTTGCGTTTTCAAAACATGTTTGCGTTTTTTAAACGTGTTTGCGTTTTTTTAAACGTGTTTGCGTTTTCGAAACGTGTTTGCGTTTTCTAAACGCGAACTGATTGAAACTATAAATATCCAATAAAAAAATTTTTGATTCGTCACACTGTTGAACATTGCAATATCCATTCCAAGCGCACACTAGTACAAAATTTGAAATTACCGAATCAGACCCTATTCTCCAGTATCTGATACCGACCCATACTGCAAGATACGGTCTTCCAAAACGGAAAAATTTTACAAGTCCGAAAATCCGAATTTATTTGCACAATCTGGCAACACTGTACGGAAAAATCAACTAATTTCTCGCCCCATCTGGCAACACTGTAAAATGCGATGTTGCAAAATTTCACCAATAAATAAATCATTTCTGTACATGCACCACGCGGCAACACTGCTGCGCCATCTTGAAAAATACACCATTGCATAACCCGAAAAATGAAGGGGCATTAATACACGATTGCATAACCCGCATATTGAAGGGGCAACATGCAATACTTTCTTTTTACAGCGTTGCCATATTGAACAATAATCCCTATACAACGCTGTAATTTAATTCGTATTTTTCTGCACAATTTGGCTAAAAACTTTTGCGCTCAAGTCGCCATTTTCACCCTACTCTATAGCTGTGCCTACCCACCTCCTTTGAGGCAGGGCACCTAGCGTAAATATTACCTTGCGTTGAGCTAACCATCACCTTGCGGCAAGGTATCGGCCTTGCCATCCTCTCCGAGCCCTAGCCGAGCCAGTTCAAGGAACTCGACGACCGAGAATAAAACCATATGACAATACTGTAGACCCAAATCCAGATACAGGGCTTGGAAAAGGCGACTCAGGATCGGAAAATACCCCGTGTTGGGTAGGATTTTCGTCTCCAACGTTGCCATGCATAATTACTCCCAGTCGTTAAGTTCCACGAACTGACCCGGCGAGGACTCGGATAGGGTTCGGAGAGGATGGCAAGGCCGATACCTTGCCGCAAGTAAATGGTTAGCTCACCGCAAGGTAATATTTTCGCTAGGGGGGCTACCAGCTGGGACCCGCAGGATTGCTAAACCCGTGAAAGTACAAACGACTGGGTAAAAAATATTGATAAGGATTTCAATGCGATTGGATCGGAGTGGCCGAGATCGTACGCACATCTTACTTATCACGGAAACCGTGCGCCTGAAGCTGGAGGTAGCGGAATACGCATCGAATGCGGCGCGGGATAGGTGACCTTCTGAGCATCCCGTTCATCTGATTTTTAAAAGCTTGGGCTTAAATTAGAGCTGAAAATATGATGTGTCATGCGCACGTTAAATCGGATTTTCCCTATCTTTAATACTTATGAAATGAAATCAAAACGCGCAAGACTTTTGGGATGACCCTCAGATCACTATATTGTAAAGCACTTACTCATATTTTTTCAGGCTCTCGAGGCAAAATTACAAGATCTGACTAATAAATTTGAAACTGCGGTGAATGAAAAGCTTGTTTGCCAAGCCCAGGCTGATGAATGCTCAGAAAAAATTGATCTAGCCAACAGACTAGTGAATGGACTTGCCTCTGAGAATGTGAGGTGGCGAGAAAGCGTTACCACGTACGTTAACATTCATTTTTTTACTGTAAATTATCTCATATTCCACACAATTCCACCAGCTATTAATTCAAAGAGATCCCATACTGGATACGCATACCTGATAACGAGACAAAATGGAAGTGAAGATTCAAGTCAATAAATCGTAATTCAAATTTTTGTTGTGGTACGATCAATCGCATGATTAAACACATCTCAACATGGCAAGTATGAACGAAAAACTTTCAATAAAAAAAGTAAAAAATTCAGTTGTACTACGAATAAATCAAAAAGATATCAACATGCAGTCGTTATAATGTTCATAATATAGGTATCATGGTAGCCTATCCCTGTAAATGTTTGGGCTGTATATTGATTTGTTAAACATTTTATGCGCGTAAGTCTTGGATAGCACGAAACAAAAGGTATATGTCAGTGCCCTACAGCTGAAAGGCACGTAACTCCATTTTATAGTAATTTCGAGATATCAAAAGGAAAAACGTTTTTCAATCCCGTTTCTTGCCGTGTATCTACCGGTAATTACACTACGGAAATAAGAAACTTGTGTTTTTTTCATGTTTTTAAGGCTATTTTTTCAAATTCCAGAGGAGGTTAAAGGGAATTTTGAACCGGAAGTTATATTCGAAGGCTTAAATCTGAAAAGGTTCAATTAGGTATCTTTTGGCTCAACTGTACATACAACCTTAGGCATAATCAAACCACTTTCTTGAGACTGTCGCTCAGTTTATCCTATCTTTGGACAAGACTGACACAGTGGACATTGAGACGAGTTTTTTTTCTCTTTTTTTCCTTGTTTGAAATATACTTTCGGGAAGTCCCTTCATATACCGAAGAGTGTATATTCCATATGAAAACCCCACAGCAAGCCATTTTTGATCAGATTGCGGAAAAGTTGGTTTTCCTTAAAGAAGGAATGATAGAGCTTTCTAGCTTCATTAAGCTTTACCAACGTCATTTTAAAAATAGGTAGGTATTGCACAACTTATATTGGTCTCACGGTGGGATGTTTCGGATCTGGCATCTTCAGCGGTGGGAGCCTCATTATTTTAATGAGGCTCCCTGTTTTTCCGAGAATCGGAAACTTACGCGTGATTACCTTCATTTTTTACATAAAAGCTTTATAGCAAATTCACTGATTTTAGCTTTCAGAAAAACGCATTTACCTTACCTGGAGACATCCTGTTGGTAACAGCATTTATATCTTACGTTGGATGTTTCACTCGAGCATACCGGGAGAAATTATTAAAGAGTCACTGGCTTCCCTTCCTGAAAAAGTTGAAGGTAAGTGTATGAGTATATTCTGTCACTATTACTGCCTAACACTTTAGTAGGTAAGCTGCTTGGTGTAATTCTGAGAGGAAAATTTTTACCTACCCACGTTTACCAAAGTGCTCAAGTTTTTCAAAACGTACCTCCTACTTCCTACGTTTTAACTCGACCGTAAACTTATTAAAGCGTTTTTGAGAAAATAATAAGAAAGGAATCATCATATTTACTCCACCCTCAGGTTTCGTAATTCGTAATCCAGATTCCTTAATTTTGCGGCAGATTCCAATTTTCCTATAGACAAACCGGATGAGACAGCTTTGGAGACTATGATTTATTCCACAGTGGGGTACCAAAACATCAGCGTGCACAACAGGGCGTCGCAATTCTGATCCGCAAAGAATTTCGGAAAATGGTAAGAACTGGGAGGCCATCAAAGCTCGCATGAATAAGATGAATCTAACAATGCACGGTCACAGAGTCACTGTTTTGGGAGTATATGGATTCAAGATGATGCTACCAATGCACTTAAGGATCAGTTTTTTGAAGCACTGGACGAGGAGGTAGCGGAGGTAGAACCTGGGAGAGAAGTCCTTGTGTTGGGAAATCTGAATGGGAAAACGGGATCGCGCGTGAACAATAAAATCGTCGGACCGTTTAAGGAAGTTACCAAAACATTGAATCACGTAGACCGTGCATCCTGTGTTACGGAAGGCGAGGCAACATTTAAAAATTCGCGTGCCGATGAGTGGTAGCACCGACCCGCATCGATAAGTTCGTGTGTCCGAATTGCGCACATCTGCGCTTGCGCAGTAGCGGCTCCAGTGAATTTTTGACGGATTGTGAGGCTTTTTTTCTCGGTTAATAAGTAGTTCGGAAAAATGAAACATTGCTATTCGGTTGTAAAATTATATGTTGTAAGACTTTTCTTCTTGGGAATTTTGTCTGTAAATGGACTCTAAACGAGATATTCTTGAAGAACCGAGCGCGCGAATGAATCCTCCATTGCCTCTCTGCAGTCTGTTCGGGTGCTTGGGGCACACGCTCCTTCCCCTTCCCCGCCCGCCTATCATGGAGTTTCGAGAGACTTGTCTCGCTCAACTGCAGTAAACGGAGCCGGACGCACGGTCAACGTGATTCAATGACTTTGGGAAGTTACGGTGAACGACAATGGAAGCCGCATCGTCGACGTTTGCGAGCAGAGAGAATTAAAAGTACCTATTGAATGGGTTCAACCAACACATGGATATTCACAAATATGTATACTTGGAACCAATCTCCCCGCGGCTTAAGATCTATCATTGACTACGTGCTCGTTAAACAGGCCACAAACCTAAAGATCTAGCAAATGAAAGTATGAAGAGGACACTCTGGCGGTATTGGCCACTATTTCCTCAAAGCGGATGTAGCCTTTCCCGCTTGGGTGTCGCAGAACGATCAAGGCGACAATCAGCAACCGGAGAAAATTCCATAGGAGTGAAAGAAATCTTGGATTATTACCAGTCATAAGAAAGGCAGTAGGGTAGGTGGGGGCAAGAGTACGCATTTTTTGGTTTTTCCCGTATTTTCGTGACCGAATCGACTTTTAAGGCGGGAAAAGTGGTCAGGCACCTACTGCAAGCTCTCGCGCACAAATGCCCTGCGTTGTCCGAATTTAGAAATAAAATCCAAGGCCGTGACGAATTTGTTGAAAAAAATTGAAAATGTGTACGCAGGTGAAATGTTTCTTTTAAAAACATTTCCTGGGCTCCAAGTCGCTATTAAATCCCGGGAAACGATTGAAACTGGTGTCAAAGGGTGCCAATAGTGCCTTATCACTTTTACTGTGAAAAAAAAAAATAATTCAATCTCCACAAGCTCCCAAAAATGTTTCGAAGTCAATTTTTTTAAACAGGAAAATAAAAGTTGAATTGCCCAAATTAAACAAAGGAACATAAAAATTTATTAGGATACTTAGTAAGTTGCCTACATCTTCTATTTTGAAGTTCCTATACCCCCCTCCCCCACCACACCACACTTTTGGGCGCGTATACTCTTGCCCGATTTGTAAACATTGGACAACATAAACTAAAACTTTGAGCCCAAGGTGCAAGGTGTGAAAACAACCACGGATTATTATAGCCAACACTATAACACTTTGATACAGTGCCTGTCAGATTTTCTCCATCAACTATTTTACTCACAACAGACAATACAACTACTAAAAAAATCGACCTTTTTTGCATGAAAAGTGAACTTGCCTTATAATTCCGTCAAAACACATCCACTTTGCACAAAACTTCTTCAACAAGTGAGACTCAATATTGCCAACAACCAACACCCGGTGCCATCATAAATTCAAACAATGTGCGCGAAAAAAGTGCGGTGCGTACTTTTACCCCGTGCGTACTCTTACCCCCACCTACCCTAAGCAAGATTGCGATAACTGCAGAGGTATATCGGTCACAGGAACCTTGAGTGAGGTCTACGGTAAAATTTTCAAAGCAAAGGTCGAAGAGGTTTGGAGCGACCAGGAAGCGGAAGAACAGGCTGGTTTTAAAGCCGGTAGTGCATCATTTTGGCGCCAACCGCAGATGAATAGGTATCCAAATGTTTGACCGAGTTATGATAGATCAAAGGTCAAATTTGACGTATTTTCAAGAAGTCATAACTCCGGTTTAAAGTATCATAGTATAACTGAAAAAACTGAAAAACTGAAAACTGAAAGGTTTGCCACATTTTGAAGCATTTTCCAGTGAAAATCTTAGAAATCACTTCAAACTAATTTTTAAAGGGGTTCCGGGCCCTCAAATACGTCAGTACTTAATTCACGCAATGTCCCTTCGAAACGAGCTGATTGTTCCCAACAATTTCTCTACAAGATCAAAATAAATTCAACATTAGGTTCTCAAGTTCACAAATTTAGGGCAAAATGGGGGGGGGGTGGATAGGGTGATTAAATCGGACCGTTTAAGTTTAATTTTTTCACTATGCTGGAGAGAGCTTCCTAATATTTACGCCCCTTTCTAGGTACCGTCAGTCGGGGCTATTTGGGAAATGCGGGTCTATTTGGGAATTAGCGGATAAAATTAATTGTTGGCAATGCTGTGGACTCCATCTATCTCATAAAACTATTCGCGTATGGTGGCGCTATCTGCATTAATTCTAGCAAAGACATTAAATCGCGTAGACCGTGCGTCCGGCTCGGTTTAGAACTGGCGGAGCGAGGAAAGTCTCTCGGAGCCCCATGATGGGCGGGCGGGGAAGGGGAGAGAGTGTGTGTCCCAAGCACTCGAAGAGACTGCAGAGAGGCAATGGAAAATTCATGCCTGAGCTCGGTTTTTCACGAATATCTCGTTTAGAGTCCATTTTAAGAGAAAATTCCTAAGAAGAAAAGTTTTAGAACACATAATTTTCTACCAGAATAGCATTGTTTCGTTTTTCCGAACTAATTATTAGCCGAGGAAATAAACCTCACAATCCGACAAAAATTCACTGGAGCCGCTACTGCGCATGCGCAGATGTGCGCAATTGGGACACACGACCTCATCGATGCGGGTCGGCGCCACCATTCATCACATGCAAATTTCTAAAAGTTGCCTCGCCTTTCCGCAACACAGGATGCACGGCCTACGTGACTCAATGTCTTTGTTCGAGAGTACTTCTACGTCGCCAAATAACGAATCCGATGTTTTCATGTGCTAGTATAACAATATTGTTTATCACTACATTTCGTGATCCTTTGAGGTTATGTCCAACTCTTGCATCCCAGCCGGACCGACTGATTCATTTGGCAATTTTGATTTTTCCAGTCATTTACTATCATAGTCAAGATCATATCCTGAAAATTTCAGATTTTTACATGAATTCTTCAGGAGTTAATAGATTTTTTCTGTGTTGGGGCAATTTGGGAAGTATAGACCCTGTGCGAAGTGAGAAATCAAATGGAAGCCAAGGAGCCATTTAGAAACGTTTCGAAGAGCATGGAATCTTATCATTCATTTGTTTATTCATTTTAGATATTCGAAGATATTTTCAGGAACTTAATATACATTTTCTTGAGGGATTTCAAATTTTGTCAATGCCCTGCGTTACTTTATAAAAAAATTATATATTTTCATGATTTTTTTCAGTTTTTGTACCCAAATACATTTTTTAAAAATTTGATTTACCTTCCCAAATAGCCCTCTGTATGAGGTTATTTGATACCAGCTCATAACATATGGCTTTAGTGCTATTTCCCAAATTACCCCCATCAAGGGGCAATTTCGGAAAAATCTTTCAAATTTGTTTACCCCCCCCCCCCAAAAAAAAAAGGGAGGTCAAATAAGTCAACTAAGTCAAATAAGTCTAATCCTTATGCTTTGGGGTCAGAACTTTCCAAAATGCCCTACACACTGAGAAAAAGTGAAGTTGATTTAACATTCTGGATGTGAAAAAAGTGTGCGAGAGCTTACAAAATGCTAAATTAACTGCTACAGCAGTTAGTTTAGCGATATCAAGACGTAAAATTAACTGCCGTGGCGGGTAATTCAGCATTTTGTGAGTTCTCGCACACTTTTTTGCATCCAGAATGTTGAATCAACTTCATTTTTTTTCAGTGTACTGTTTTGAAATTAGTTTGGATTTCTAAAAAACTGCAATTAATTTCCAAATAGCCCCGATTGACGGTAGTCAATTTGACCATCGGACTAAGGTTTAAATGGAAGCTTGTATGAACAGTAAACTCAGGAAAAAATTGATTATAGAGTCTGATTTTAATCCACTAATCTATAATTTCAGCCGGAAATACCCTTGACACCTTTTGTTGAACCTTTGAACATTTTAGCAGACTCGGCAATGATAGCCTCCTGGAATAATGAAGGTCTTCCCAATGATCGAATGTCTGCAGAAAATGCCGTCATCGTAATAAACTCTGAAAAGTGGCCGCTATTGATCGATCCTCAGGTGAACAAGTGAATTATATTAGTTACCAAGGTGAATTCATGAAGCTCAGTAAGCTATCCATTGTTGATTACGATATCGTCGATAGGACCGAAGGTGAATCTACAGCGGTGCGTAGTAAGAAATTTTTCCGCGGAGGGAGCGCCACCGCTGTGTTTTGATTTTTTGGTCTACGTTACTAGAATCCGTACAGCCCCACATGAGTCCTTGAGCTTTTATGAAAGTTGAAAGAATTTCTGTTAAAATCGAAGAGTCATAAGTTCTAGCCATAACATTCTTCTTCCTATTGACACTGAAAAAGACGTGAAAAGTAACTTCTAAAGCTTTGAAACTTCATCCTAGGAAATAGTAGGGTGAAGAATGATGACCTTGATGCAACCAATCGCGATTGATCGCTCTCAGTAGTTGCAGATATCTCTCTCCCACCGTGAGCTATCTCTCTCGCACTTACAGATATCCCATAAGAGAAACTGGGATCAAGTCATAGCTTTAATTATTAAACTTTCAAATCTCGCGTTTGTTTCTAAGCATTCCAGATGTATGCTGCTAGAACTTATGAGTCTTAGAATTTAATATATCTATTGTGTTATTTAAGTAATCGCTGATTTCGGCGATGGATTTTAGCAGCGCGACGTGGTGGATTTTTTCGGAACTACAGCTGAAGATTCATCTTAACTGCTTTCATCTCAATGCAAGAATACTGGGTGGTTTTTACTCTAAGAGCAATTGATGCAAAAACGGCTTTTTTCGCCCCCCCCCGGAATTTCTTCAAACTTGGTCGATCAATTACTCATACTTGAGCGCTTCTTTTCCCAAATTTTAATCGGAGGCGCTAGGAGGGGGAGGGGGTGGAAGTCAAAACCTGTGAAATTCGATATCTCTCGAACGAGGAAAGATATCGAGGTCCAGTTCCGACGAAAAATCGTCTAAAATTGCATACTTATAGATTCTCGAGGTCAAAATACCGATATCACATTTTCAATTTAACATATATGTGCTTTTTTTAGTTTTTGCGTCGAGAAAATTTCTCCTGAACAAAAAATTCACAAGGTACTAATTTTTTTTATTTGAACCAAAATCAGTTTTTACTTTCTTGCTCCCCTAGGGTAAAGAGGAAGTATTGTCATCCTCCAAGAAAAGAAAAAAAAAGTTGAAGTTCCATCATTTCTAGACGTTTTAAGGTCCAAGGAGTCAAAATAACCATACTTGAAAAAATGTTCGTCCGTCCGTCCGACGTCCCCAAAATCTGTGTATAGCGGTATCTCAGAATCTATCTGTTCGATTTCATTCAAAATTTGCACAGAACACCATATCTTTGGTCTCCTTATGCACGTCAAACGATTTTGGTTTACGCTAAAATTTGGGTGGGCTACGCTAAATTGTCCATTTTTAGCAAAATCACACGGAAAGCTCATTTTGAAAGAGTGTAAATTTTGAAAAATGCCTTTAATTCTTTAACAATGGGCATCAAGCACATCACCTGGGTCATTAATTTAAGTTCCTAAAAGATCTTTGGACTAAACTCAAAATTCAAGGGATACGAAGCACAATAGTAGGGCACTTTGCGCCGCAACATCACACAAACAGCTCATTTTGAAGGTCTGTAAATTTTAAAAAATGCCTTTAATTCTTTAAAAGTTAGTATAAAAGCACCACTTGACTCATTAATTTAAGTTCCTATGAGGTCTTTGGACTAAACTAAGAATTGAAGGGTTACGCGCCATATCGTCACCTTCCAGGCAAAGTATCACAAGCGCCATGCGACGTTTAAAAATTTCCGCCGCCATTTTATTTTTTTACAGAGAAATTGTTCCACGAAGCTGTCCGAAAATTTCACTGAATTTTCTTTGTGCTTTTTTTTTTTTTTTTTTTTTTTTTTACGGANCTCTGAGGATGGGAATCCGTACCCCGAGGGGTCCGTCAGCACTGGAGCCTCTGAAGCGGAAAGGTTACCTCCCGTGGATGTGTGGGGGATTCCAGGTGGCACCCGGCCAGGACTCCAAGGAGTCCTGTGTTACGCCGGCGCTCCGAGTCCTACCCACTGCACCCATGGGACTCAGACTTCGCAGCGCCCCTCCCTACGAGTAGCGAGCGACGCGGCCGGCCAACCCCATCCGAAGCACTATAGTCTGTCCCAGATACGAAGAGCCCTGGAAAATCGGAATAATTTGCACGATGTAGAAGCAAGGTATCGTTCGTTCTATTGTGTCCGACTAATCACCGAGGCAACCCCGCACCGCACAGAGGGTTGGTTATGAGCTCCGCGGCGCGTCGGCGTCTTACGCCGGGAATCCGCTCCTGGGCCTCGGGGAAAACCATTGCGGAAAGATGCGAAGGGAGTATGCGTTGCCTCAAGGTGGCTTGCGACCCTCTGTGCGACGCATGTGAGAGGCGACGAGATGACAGGTGACGAGGGTCGAGGCACCCCAACCCGCCAAATAGTGCTAATTACTCTGATTTTTCAGGGCTCTTCGTATCTGGGACAGACTATAGTCAACTTTGACTTGCTCCTCCGGTCCGGCCCGCTTTCAGCCCCCGCCAACCACCAGGGCCGGATGCGCGGACTCAAGGTCCGCATTCCGGGATCCTGGGGGGCGCGGGAATCACGAAACCAGACACGTCAACGATCCCGCTTGATCTGCCGCCGCGTTGCCGCCGCGACAGGATGTGGGCTAACGACCGAGGACGCAGGCACAGTGGAGCGGCAACATCAGGGGATGCCTATCCCGCCAAAAGGCGGGAGGAGGAAACCCGAGAAAGTCACCGAGGTGGCAGTCTACGGGGTCGAAGGGTAGCCGACTATCTCTAGCAATTTGCCGGCTAACTCGGGTACGGGGGAGCGTCAAACCCCAGATCCACAGACAGATCCCCTGCGTTATTTCTTTGTGCTGCCGATAAAATTTAGTGAAATTTCCAAACAGATTCAAACAACAATTTCTCAGTAAAGAAATAAAATGGCGGCGGAAACTTTTAAACGTCGTATGGCGCTTGTGATACTTTGCCTCGAAGGTGACGATATAGCGAAGAGAGCACTTCGGTCACACGGAGAGCTCACTTTGAGGGACTGTATATTTTGAAAAAAATGCCTTTAATTCTTTGAAAGTTGGCTCAAAAGCACCATCTGAGTCATTAATTTAAGTTCCTAAAGGATCTTTGGACTAATGCCATAATTGCAGAGGGGCCGATAGGAAACGCTCAATTCTCCGATGAATGAGTCGGAAGGCTTCTAGATATTAGCAGCAAACGCTTTGAGTCAGGTGAAACCTAGGAATTCAAATGCATTATATAATGCATCATATACTATCTCCAAAATTACTCCGTAGGTCTGTATTCACCAAGCAAAATTAGACAACTAATTAGGTACTAACATTACATACTATGAATCATCGAAGCTAACGCCACCTGACACTTAGATCTTGATTTGAAACTTAGATGTTTGTTGTTAATGAATTTAGAATCCCGGCAGATTCCACCTTTCGCGGTTCCTTTTTACGAGGTACTGAACATAAATATAATGTAATAATACTGCACAAACATGATTGATTTAATGATTGTTAATAAAGCGCGTTGTAACCCGTCCAGGTTTGTTGACGTTGTTGCAGAGAGTATAGAAGGTTAGAGGCCCGACTCAATGCTAGGTAATTGAAACAGGAGCGCTCGCAGCGCGCTCGTTGGCAACGTACGTAACTACTATTTTCTATTGTTTTCCAGTGACTAGCGGCGGGAATGTTCCTGCCGGACCACCTCGGTATCGGAATCCCGCTCATCGCGCACTCTCACGCAACTGCTTGCTCGCGGCTCAACTTCAGTTTCAATCTATACTATAAGCTCCAAGACCTCCTAATTTTGCGAAACTGGTAACGCTTAGTTCCAGCGTTCTACCGGGCCGATTTTCATGATTTTTGCGGCGATCAACGGGCAATTGTCTCTAGATAAGCCAACTCTTTTCAAATTTTCAAAATATGACCCAGGTTTTTTTATATTACGTGGTAAAGTTGCGAATTCTCCCATTTAAACAATGTAAATTTATACTTTTTGTCATAGTTCGTTTGAGCGTTCTATCGGGTCGATTTCCATGATTTTTGCGTAAATCGACAGGCAATAGGCCCTAGATGAGCCCGCTGTAATCAGATTTTGGAAAAAGGACCCAGGTTTTTTTAAAATCACGTTATAAAAGTGAGTGAGTTTACAGAATGCTCCGGTACTGCTACCGCTATGCGCGGGAGGATGCGCAGTGGTCGAGGAGGTTGCGCAGTAGCTGTGTAGCCTGCGCATCGGCTCTACACTTATCTAAACAAGATTCGCGCCGTCAACCTCACGTCGAGCGGAGGTCGAGTCGTTTAAGACGTCGAATGCGACCACTTTGAACTCGGTGTGGGTTCGATCTCCTAATTATGAAATTCTAAATATTACTTGACTATCATTGTTCATTGTTTTACTGCAATATTTCATCAAGCAGTCATTCCAAAACGCGCCCTTTTAATTTTAAAGAAATTTTAAATAAAGTTTAAAATTAAATTAAAAAAATTAAACCTAAAAGTGGCCCGAAACTGTATGTAACAAGGTGGAGAAATGGTGCTGGGTCCACACCATTTCGCGGGGAAACAAAGCCAAGAAATACCAAAAATTAAAATTAGAGTCAAAAATAAATTTTAGAACTCTAATGCGCACCAGTATGAAACTGAGGGGGGAGAGTGTTCAGCTCAGGCAGTTTGCAATGGAATATTAAGTTGGAGTCACGCCGAGAGATCTTTACCGGTTTGGGCCTTATTAGACCTCATCAGAAGATCACACTCAGCAGTGAAAGCAGTTAAAATTAAAGTATACTTCATATCGTAATTTTTTAGGGGGAAAATAAAACTAACACTGATAAAAGGGTAAAAATAGGGCCGCGAAGCGGCCCATTGATGGCGCGGAGCGGCCCATTGATGGCGCGGAGCGCCTTCAGGGGGTTGGGTCGCGTGGCGGCCAGGGGGCGTAGCCCCCTAGTTCTTCCCTATCCA